TCACCTTCCCCTGTGTGCCAGGCAGTGTGGTGCAGCCTCCAGTGGTTGGCACCGCATTCTCTGGAGCAGACCAGGAAGATAAGTCATGTCTACTCATGACATTCATTGCCCAGAGATCCCAGATGCGTCTGTAGATTGTCCGCTCTGAAGGATCTCCCACAGTGAGCAAGACAGCTCTTGAAGCAGTGTTTGTGGCTGTTAAGGAGTTCACCAAGCACCTTTCCCAGGATGACTTGCTTCTGCTTTATGCTGCTAAGGAGTTGTTTATGTATGATGCTGTGTGGGTGGGATGTGGTTTTGTTACTGCTCCATTGTTGGACTCTGTTTGGGCACTTTGCCCGTTCATGATTAATGATGTTTTGAGTTAAGGCTTTAAGGTGCTTTCAGGCATACTCCAGGTACCAGAAGTAAAAGAGGTGTTGTTATCATCAAGGTACTTCAATGTTATATTAAATGTAATCAGGAGTGAATTAGTTAAAGCATGTGTACATGTAAGTCCTCTTAGGTGGATGTTCAAGCAACTTGTGTGTCATAATTTAGAGCTTGATTTTTTTTAGACTTTTGTAAGCCTCTCCTCTCCATGAGATGGTGGTATCTTGGCAGTAGGTGCCGGGACTGCTGTCAGAGGGCAAACCTCTCCTGCAAAGGCCTCTTAGTGAAACATAACTCTTGAAACAGGTTAGGGAATTATGAGCATTTGTTGATCCTGGCTTTAGGGTTAATTCTTAGGGCTAACAGAACTGGTATAGGCTGGGATGTAGTGGTTTCTTGCATTTCATCTGACCTTGGAGTGAGCAAAAACCTGTAGAAAAATCTGTATTTCATGTTGGAAATCCTCTACCAGGATTAAACCTTCCTTTCTGCAGCTCAGCATAGTCTTGACATGGTTGTCTGTTAGAAGAATTGCCTGGAGAGCAGCAGCCTCTTCTGTCCATCACCTCAGGCTTTGTGAGGCTGGTGGTTCTTCAACCCTGTGGAGAGGAGACTCAAATTCAAATAGAGGAGTGGTTGACAGGAACGCAAGGTGACCGAAGATACTGATCCTAAATGATTGCCCGAAGCTACCTGTAGCCTCAGTCTGACAAGCACAGCCAGAAACCTCCTCCCCATTACCATGAACACAGTGGCAGGTGTGTTGCTAAACTAGCTGTGGAGGAGACCACAAGCTGGCCATGAGATTCAGTTGATAAGGAGCTGAAATGGCAGCTTCAGTTCATCCTATGCCATCATATGGGTGGCCCTGTTAAGTGTTTTGGCTTTGACAGAAGATGTACTAGCCACATCTGAGCAGCAGTAACTCATGTAGATGAGGCGTGGAAGCTGGCAACATGGGGAAATGGGACCTGGACGCCACATGGTATACATCCGAGTCTGTTTGCCATGGATAGTATGTTATCTTGATACGAATGAAGCTAGTGACTTTGTTTTCCCAACATGTTTGAAAAAGTACTAAGCAGGCAGGAGATTAAAATGACCAAAAATGTTCAGAGCATTAAAGAAAGGAGACACTTTTAAAATCCTCGTGTCTGTCTGAGCCAAGCTCGCAACTTTCTGAGCTGCAACTCTGTGATTTAAACAGGGCAGAGATAGGAAATGGGACAATGTTGAAGCTGAAAATGAACCAAAATGTAAAACTTTGTCTTTGACATACTCCAGTATTAGCACTCCGCGTGCTGCTTTGGTCTCTCAAGCTACTTTAGTTTACTGCTGGAGGAGGTTGAAAGGTGATTCATTCATAGTTTAAAAGGACCTAAAAAGGGAAGAGGTTTCTGGCTGCTAGATGGGATTCAAATCTAACAGAGAAAAGCAGAGAGATCTCTTGGCTGGAAGCCAAAGCCAGAGAAATTCAGGCAGAGAAGAAGGGCTGCAGTTTAAATGATACAAATACAAACCAGCGGAAGGTCTTTGGCTGGCATTAAGCAGACTCATCAGCAGCTGATGGCTCTGAATGAGCGTTTCTGTGTCTTTCTAAGAGATGCAGGAATTATGAAGAGAGACTTTCCAGCCCAGAGCAGCTGTTCCAAGAGACCAAGGCTGGGGCTTCCTTTCAACCCAAGCAGCCTGTGCATGGCTGTGGATGCTGCATCCCAGGCTTGGGGCTCTGCCTGCTCTTCCTGTGCTGCTGTCCAAGCACAAGCCACTCTTGCCGGGCAGCAGTAAGGCGCACAGATGTGCTGGTGTTAGGCAGCACAGCTCTTTCTTTGTGCTCAACCGTTTTCCCAGACAGAATCCAAAATACTTCTGGATTGGATTCCCCTTTCACTGGCCTGATTCAAGCAGGGAATTACAGTCCATGAAGTGTGGCTTGTGAGCTGAATGCACAGTCCCCTTCCCTCCTGTTGTAAGATAGCCAAAGACAGGCAGGGAAGCATTTTTCCTCCCTTTTTCTGAGCAGGCTCTGCTGCAGTGGTGTGATGCAGGCAGAGTCCCTGCCCTGGGTGAGTGTCCACTCCGTCTCTGGTATGTGTCTCTTTGGACCTGCCTATTGAGGAGTGTCATGTAAATATCACAAAAGCACAAGGTGGAAGAGGTACGTAGGTACGGGTGAGATGTGACTCATGTTGGTAGGGAGAAACGGGGGAATAGAGATCTTGGAAAGCTTCTTGCTTGTCCATGGCCCTCCACCTTCAATGTTCTCCAGGTTTTGGGGCTTTGCTGTGCTCTTGACAGCATTTTCTAGGGAGAGGGGCAAGACTGACACATCTTTCTCCCAGGCCATGCTGCCTGCTTTGTAATTTTGCAGACTGTGAACCTGGAAATCATATGAAGCAGATGTACCAGTGCCAAGGTTAGGACCTTCCTAGTATTTAAGGCATATGTATACTGTTGGCATGGTACAGGATGACCTCAGTACACAATAGGAGCCAACCGACACACACATTCAGACAGAATAAATATTTGATAGAGTCTATTTCTCTATTCCCCAAAATGACCCCTATAAAAGCAAGGTCCTGTTTACCTTCCTGGCTCTCTGGGCACAGTGTTCTGAGAAGAGACAAGTTCTCTTCTCCATTCATTGCCTTCCTGCTCTTCTGGGTGATCCATTTCCAGGCAAGGATCAGGGATATTGGCTTCACAAAACCCAGGACACTTGATTTTCACAGAACTAATGAAATCTGGGGAAAGCTCATACAATTTTTGTTCAGAAGTGCCAAAGCACAGTGACCTGGACAGCAGAGCAAGACATTGGTGTGAGCCTGAAGCAGTCATCTGCATTTGTCCAAGCTGTTTTTTGTGCTGTCCCAGTTCCATTAGCACATCTGCAGCTCTCCCCATCTTGCCTGTGGCACAGACTTCTAGTGAGCCTGCAGCAGGCTTCAGTGTGCAAAAAACAACAGTCAGGAAGAATATTTGATGGGGTTTATTATTTTTTTCACTTGGTGTGCTGAACATTCTTCCTTTGTACTCCTGGGTCTCGTTTGCTTCTGTGCCTTGGAGTCAGCGTAGCTGTGTCAGTGGAAGATCAGGTGTGCTTGGGGCCAGAGCTGCTGTGTTACCCACCCTGTGCTGCCAGGCACCTCTCCTTTCATGATCTGGGTTTGCCTTTCAGTCACTGGGAGCTTTGCCTGGCCAACCAGTGTTACCCCAAACTGTACGTTTCTGTCCACGTTTTTATCTACTGAATTAAGGACAGTTTAGATTCTTACGCCCTTGCATGTAAACCAAATGAATATGAGAGTCCTCAGAGCCTCCTAACACAGTAGCATACTCATGATGATTGCTGTGCTTTTTATTTTCTATGTTTCAGTGAAAACAGTCTTTAAATAAAACCAACCTATGATAACTTAGCTTGGCATGAAGAATGAGTGGAGACATGCAAAGGGCTATAAAATAGTGATTGCTCTAATGAAACCCATCCAGTTCCTCCTCTTTTGATTGCTCTTCCATATCGCAAGATCAGAATGCAATAGGCAATTAAAATATGGCTTGTGCGTATTAGAGAGAGGAAATACTTTATCTTTAACACATCTTAGACAAGTGGAAATCATTGTTATGAATATTCTTAAGCCAAAACCAGCAATTTGCTATTTTTTTAAAAGGTTAATGCTGAAAAGGAAAAGGGGAGCTGCCAGTTGAAGGAAAAATACAAGCCTGCTAATGCTTCTTGTCAGGTTTAATATAAGACTGGTAGAGATTGATAAGAACTGTTTCCCTCTCTGCCTGATGTTTCACCTGTCTGAAACACCCAGGAAAGCTCACGTGCAGAGCCATGCTTCAGACTGGAAAGGCTGCTAGCCAGCCTAACATTATAGGTGCTAAGACCGTATTAAATAGAATCACAGAATCACAGACTGGTTTGGGTTGGAAGGAACCTTAAAGCTCATCTAATTCCAACCCTTCTCATCCTTTATTTGTGCAGGTTTTCATTGCAGCCCTCTCAATGGCTATTGCTGTACTGCTGCTGCTGTTGTGCTGAATGACCATTCACTTTAGTAGCAGTCACAGAGCATCCGTGTCACATGCTGCTGGGGAACTGGGGACTGCACCCCATGACCTGCCTCTGCTCCATCTGCAGTGAAACCCTCCAGCTGTGGTTGGTGGGATGTGGGATTGGCAACACTCCTGTTGGCAGTGGCAGAAATCATGTAGGTGTTGGTACTCATCAGCACCAATGGCAGAATGCAGGGAAAATAGTCCCCAAAGAGCTTGAGCTCCTGCACCTTGGCTCTGGGCTGGAGGGAGAGCCTGGAGAGCAGAGCAAACCCCTGCACTAGCAGGAGACACATGGGTCCTACGTGTGTAAGGACAGCTATGGAGCAGTGGAGTCTGGAGCAAGCCAGACCTGGGGAGCTCCCTCTATTCTCCACATGGGCATTTGACTCCATGCCTATGTGCTGGTAAAGCCTGGGGAGCCGAGCTGGTGTGCGACCCCTTTCCAGCCATCACAGGTCAGTGGGCAGCAGCGCTTTTCCCAGTGAAGGTGGCTTGGTGGGCTCACATTGCTGTGTGCAGCCTCTGAAAGAGGCAGGTTTCACATTGTGTGGTTTCTGTTTTTGTAGCTGTCCCTCCCAAGCTGAAGAAACTGAAAAGCCCAAACGTTCACGTTGGTGAGAAGATTTCACTGAAATGTGAGGCGACTGCTGGGAACCCTCAGCCATCCTACAAATGGTTTAAAGATGGCAAAGAGCTGAAGAAAAGCAAAGACATCCGGATCAAGTATGGGAATGGGAAGTAAGTATGCCATGAGGCTGCTCTGCCTCTGCTCACTAATACTGAGTGTCTGGGTTTGGGCAATCATCTGGGTAGAAGTGATGCTGTGCTCTCCATGTCACTGCTGAGCAGTACTGAGGTGCTTCCTTAGAGTCACAGAACCATGCTCAGCCCATTTGCCATGCCTGGGAGAGTGAGCAGGATTCTCAGTTTCCCCAGAAAGTATCAGAGAGAGAGGAGCAAGGCACACACAGGATAGATGTTGGGTTTGTAGATGGGGCTCTCCTTGGGTATCTGAGATGGGAGGTAACTCTTGCCCTGCTAGCTGTAGGCTGCTTGTAGGCAGAGTCAGTTACCTGAGGTGAATCCTGCTTTGTGGCCAGGGGTTTGAATGCAGAAGCTGTGCAAGCCTGGCAGTTGCCCCACCAGCCCACAGCAGTCATGCATAAATGTGTGACAAATCACTCTGTTACCCTGAATTTAGATTCATTTATACTCAAAGCCATCTAAGACAACTGCAAGGATGCAAGAGCACATCATAATACTGTCTGATTAGGGCCTGCAGTCACTCAGTCTCAGGCAAGACTTTGTGTTGCTGCACACAGGGCAAGCTCCACTGTGGCTGCTCCAAACCCCCCCTGAAGTGAAGCCCTGAGGTAGCTGCTCTCAGTGAGTGTCATCTTAGGGACCACCTCACTGAGGCAGTGCAAAAACACCAGGAGAAACAGGCCCCAGTGACTAGCTACGGGATTCTTGCTTGGAATTGATTTAAGTGAATCCATGTTGCTATTTTTCAAGGCCAACTATTTACATCTGATGTAGCTTAAAATTATTCCATCATTGTGACTGTGCTTACATTCATATATCCTGACCTAGCCAGCAGCAAAGTTAGCTTGCAACTGCCCAAGCCCTTGGAAAACTTGTTAACTTTGTTAACAGATGTTATGTCTGAGTGTGTGAAGCTCATCTCATTATGGACCTCAAAGAGTATTAACTTTTAAAATTAGAAGCCACTAAGAAATCACTTAGATCAGTTAGTGCTCAAATGAGTCATTGCCAATTGCTCTAATTTAATACCAGTCATCTTGGTTCTGATTTCATCCAGAAATTTCACCCAGATTGGTTGACCCCCTTTGCAACAAGTAGGGTTTTCTGGCTGTTTTGGGATGAGGCAGAGAGGTGGTCAGTGGAAGGCTTAGGCTAGAAACACCAGCGGATCCAGAATAACTGGCTTGTTTGTTGATGATTGATGCTGCCTGCTCAGGAAGGGCTGTCTGGGCTTGCAGGCAGCAGAGGTAGGGCAGAACTGTGCCCGTCTCTGCTCTGTTGTCTTCAGTATTTCTCTGAGCCTTGCAAGCCCCATGGCCTCAGTTGTTTACTGGTGGGTACTGGAGCTGAGATGCCCTGGAGGGATGTCTACACCACCCGCTGCAACCAGGCGTGGGAATCCTGCTGGTCCACCCATCTGGACACTGCATCCTGCGGGCAGGCAGCCTGTGGGACCCTGAGTTCAGTGGTGCCAGGTCTCACAAGGATGTTGGGGTGCTATTTCCCTCAGAGCTAGAGAGCAATCAGCACCAGACTAAACACCCATCAAGTCTCTCTGGTGATAGCAATAAGCGCCTCTTGCAGCATTTCCCTGCTGTGCTCCCAGACATCATAGTCCCTCTTGCCTCCTGGCACCCCATGTCCAGCACAAAGCTGTGACAGGGTGGCATCCCACCCACAGCGGTGCAGGAGTTTGCACACTCCCTGTGTCAGGAACATAAACACATGGAAGAAGGTTGATCCTCTTTCCTCAGGACACTGCTGTCAAGTCATAATTTTGCATTTACCAGTTTCCATGGCAATGAGTTGGCTGACAGCCTGCCAGTGACAGGCCAGAGACATGCTGTGCATGCTAGAAGTGCTTCTTGCTGGCAAATAAGCCCAAGGATAAACATTTTAAAGAAAGCTGAGCACCTGCCTCCTCCAGTGCCTGAGGCTCCCTCAGCAACAAAGGTGTAAGCACAAAGCTATCATAGTTCTGTCCCCAGAATCACAGAATCTCAGACTGGTTTAGGTTGGAAGGGACCTTAAAGCTCATCCAGTTCCAACCCCTGCCACGGGCAGGGACACCTTCTACTAGAGCAGGTTGCTCCAAGCCCCTGTGTCCAACCTGGCCTTGAACACTGCCAGGGATGGGGCAGCCAAAGCTTCTCTGGGCACCCTGTGCCAGCACCTCAGCACCCTCACAGGGAACAACTTCTGCCTAAGCGCCCATCTCAATCTCCCCTCTGGCAGGTTAAAGCCATTCCTCCTTGTCCTGTCCCTACAGGCTCTTGTCAAAATCCCTCTCCAGATTTCTTGTAGATCCCCTTCAGTTACTGGAAGAGCTTCCCATCACTTCTTCTGCTCCCTGCTGCCATTAAAACATGACCTTAAGTGGAGAGGTTGCCTATCTGGGGCTGGGGCCTGACTACAGAGGTTACACTCATGCAGTTGTTATCTGGGACAGTTCTGATAACCCCTTATTGACCATTTGCCCTTTGATGAGCAGTCAGCAGTGAAGGAATGTTCTAAGCAGATCAGGATGGGTCTGTGCACACCTGGTCTGGCATCCTTCTCAGCTTTCAGGCTCTTCTCTCCATGGAGTTTGCTAGCTCTCAGTGCTTGAAAACACCTAGAGGTCAGAGTGCTCACTGGCATTGGACCTGTCTCCTTCTGGTCTTGATGGCATGCAGTAAACACTAAAAATTGATCTGTACAAGCAGTGTGAGGATTGAGGGAGTCCTTCCTCATGGCTTTGCATATCTCCATTAAGTATCTGAGTTTAGTAGAGGGACCCAAAACTGGATGTGGGATATGGATGTACATAATTATTTGCAGCGTGTTTGTTAGGAGGAGGCTCCAGGGAAGGATAAGTATCCTAAACTGTAAAACTCGGAAGGAAAGTCCTACTCTGTGATGATTAATTTAAGAATAATGAGATTTATACATCTGGCTCCACTTACAGATAACACTGGTTTCCAGATAATCCCTACTCTTTCTTTCATTCAGAGTAGAGTGGAGTTTCCAGAGGGATGGAAATAGAGCACTGGGAGGGGATTTCCATAGAGAAAGTACACAAAAAGCTCCACAGCATCTGGCCAGGTGCACAGGATCACTAGTTGTCTGCTGTAGCCAGGTAAATGAGCCCTGCCAGGATGTGGAGGTGGTGTCCATACTGTTTCTCTTGGTCCACTGAATCCCAAGCAGAGCATCAGACCCTTTGTGTAAAACTCTGTGGTCCTTCAACAACATGCAAAGGGTTAGGATGGGAAGCAAGAGCAGGATTGCCCTCTGTGACTCGCTGCTGCTCTGTGTCTGGCTTTCCTCCCTGTGTGTTTAAAGAGCCTTGAGATCTCTAACTAGCAGCTGTGACTGAACACTGTTCTTTGTGATGAAGTTTTCATCTGATCCCACTGGCCTTCCTAGAGTAGATCTCTTTTAAAATAAGGGAAGTATATGTTGTAATGAGAACAGCAGTTAACTGCATTTCAGTTCTTCAGCTTCTCCATCAATCCTCTTCCCTCTTGTGTTTTAAACCTACTGGCAAAACTTCTGGTACCATCAGCCAGAGGAGTCAGGTTTTTTTTCAATGGATATTTGCTGAAGGGAGGGGAACAATCCTGATTCCTCCTTTCTGAACTGCATGTTCCATCTGTAATTAGTAACAGGCAGGGGCAAGTCTGGCTTGCACAAAGTGGAAACTTCTCTTTAAGGTGGAAGAAATTATTGGCTTGAATTTTATCTCTGGCTCCATTTAAATAAAACACAGTTGATGGGGAACCTAGAGGAATTACCCAGAAAGAATTGCCTGCAGTAGTGGAAGTACAGCGCACTGAGTGGCTCTTCCTCTGAGCTGCCAAAGCGATACCACTTTCTGCTTAGTGCATCTGAGAATCTGGCTGGGGTTGGGTTCTGACTCTCTGACTGTCTGGCAAACAGTCAAATGCCAGTTGTGGAGAAATCCAGGAGAGTTTCTGCTTGTGGAGGTGTAGAGAACCTGCCCCCGCTGAGGCTGGGCTCTCAGGGCTCAGCCCTGAGACATGTAGATCCCCAGCTGGAGTTAGAGGGGGTTCAGGAGCCTGGTAGTCTCCTCACTGTGGCTGTCCTTACAGCTTCTTCCCTTTGTGTGCTCTTTTACCAAGGGAGATTGCTGTGGTGATGAAGTAGGCACATCATTAGACTGGAGAGGGTTGTGGCAGTTCAGTTTGGGACAGGCTGACCATATGACATCCCTTGGGAGTAGTGTCCTACTTTCAGTATCACCAGGAATCCCTATTGTTAGCCTGTAAGTGGAGCCAAGGGATACCCTCCTCTCCTGTTTCTGTACAGTAGTCCCTCAGGCGTTCCTAGCTGGGGCAGATTCATTGCTGGGGTCTTCCTTGTAATGCTCCCTGCTGTAGATTATTCCCCACCCACAATGAATGGGGCTGTGGTCTTCCCTGTACAGCTCACTGCTCTGGAATGAAGGCAAAAAAAAGAGATCATAATGCCAAAGCAGCAGGGGAAAGAGAGTGCCAATAGAGATAAATGATTTCCTAATTAAGCCTGGAGACAAGGAGGGGCAAAGAGAGCTGTTGAAGCCTTGTGGGAGCCAGAGTGAACCCAAGCAGGCTATACCACCACTCTGGCAGGGGTCTTCAGGCTGACATTTTTAAACAAAGGGAAAAGCTCATTTGACAATGGATCTTGCAAGAGCAATTCCAGATGCCTCGAAGCTAAGACTCTTCTCAAGCACCGGTGTTGTTATAATCACCAGGGGAGCTTCTGCCTTGCTAACTCTCACGATGTCATTATAAGTATCCGATACTTGGGCTTTGGTTTTAGCTGCTGAAGGCACTTTGTTGGAGGGGGGTGTGAAGGAGAGCATCTCCTTTGTTTGCCTGTCTGTTGTTTTAAAGGAGAAGATGGACATCATCTTGGCCAATGCACCTGGGACTGAACCAGGGAATTTGAGAACTGAAAGGGGAAGCAGTGGGTCTTGAGCTAGAACA